AAACTTGATGCACGAAACTTGATGCACGAAACTTGATGCACGAAACTTGATGCACGAAACTTGATGCACGAAACTTGATGCACGAAACTTGATGCACGAAACTTGATGGGGGGGGGGGGGGGGGTAAAATCGTCCAAAAAAAGTGTGACTTCATTTATGGTTGACCCCTGTATACTAAACATGCTTCGGGTATATAGAACATCTTCTGAGTCGCAGGGCACAAAACTGAGCGAAAACATAGGCATAGGACATATTATGGTTTTTTCACATGGGGGACATGCGTAGAAAAGTAATAAACGCATCCTAGGCCTAATTCCTATCTCTCATGCAGCTTTTAGCGCCCCCTACCTACGCCTCGTGTCAGTGAATGCAGCCGTACATGACGACAGTGTACAGACGACTGGAAACAGATCAAGCAGTGAAGCAGAACATGTTACTTTCTCTTAGTTTCAACTCGTTTCAAATCTATATTATCTGCCCCTATTGACTTACTTACTTGACTCAACATAGGGCCTCAACCATTTCCTTCCATTTTGTCTGATCCCCTGCTATTAATTTTGCAATTTCCCAAGACATCCCTGTTGGCTTCAGTTCTTTGAGAAGACTCCGCCTCCAGGTCTGTCTTGGGCGCCCTCTCTTCCGCTTTCCCTGGAGGTTCCAATCAAGCGCTTGGCGTGTAACATTTGGGTGAGCCTTTCGTAGCGTGTGTCCCACCCAGCGCCACTTCCACCGTCTTATTTGCACACCCATAGGCTCCTGACAAACTTTTTCATTACTTTATTGTACATATAGTCAAAATTAAGAAATTAGACTGATGCTTGGTTTAACAGACCGATTCAAATGTTTTCTACACCTATTGTCTGACACCAAAAGACTGAGTCGGGGGATGGGGGAGGGGGCGCTTTTTCGCCAACTTGAATGGCTTTATATAAATTGGGGTGGGGGGGGGGGGGGGGGCTGCGTTAGTGTAACAGGTAGCTCTCAAGAAAAAAAAAAACATTAACGCATTGATGTAATCCTCTAAAAAATGTGCGTCAGCCTTTCTTTTGAGATCGCAGCAACAATCTCTATCTTAATGAAAATATGTTTCTTTTTCGGCGTTATTCATTTTATATATTACTACATAATCGATCGGCGTGAAACTCTGGAAAATCATATAGAAAATATATACTTTTACCAGTGTGTGTGTGCCCCCCCCCCTCCGAAAATATCAAGTGCCCCCCCCCCCCCCCCCCGGAAAAAAAAGTATGGAAGAAACACTGTATATAATTGGGGTATGGGGTATCTTAATCTTACCCTTGATTTGGACTAGGGCACCTATGTAGCTCTGCACTCTACTTGAGTTGAAACCTGGGTTATAAATAATACATGTCTGAGTGAAACCTGTAAAAAATGTGTAGTGTGTAGATCTATGACCAGTAGGCCTACACAGTGCCGGCGTGGCGTTATTAAAATGCCCCCACCCCCACCACAAAAATAAAAAGGCAAAGCGACTGGTAAAAAGCGCCCCGACCTTTCCAAACAATGGAGATGGGGGCGCATTTTCCTCAACTCGAATAACTATATATAGGGCTATAGTACTAATGTAAGGATGGGGAATATTACCCTGTCTATAGTTTATATAAATATAATCAAAGTTCTTAATTGTTAGGTACTTTTTAATAATGGCGATTACACAATTTTGCGCCCCCTAAACGGATAGCGCCCTAGGCGACCGCCTAGTTCGCCTTATAGATAGGGTAGCGCCGGCCATGGGCCTAGTTCTAGACTTTATGTTATTTTAAATATAAATATTTCTTCACTGCACAATAGACGTGTTCCACCCAGAGTTTCTTCCAGGCATTTCTTCGGGGGGGGGGAGATTTTTCACCGCCCCCCCCCCCCCGAACGAAATGAAATTTATATAATTTATATAGAAAATATATACTTTTAACAGTGTCCGCCCCCCCCCCCCCCCAAAGAAAGTCTACCGCCCCCCCCCCCCGAAAATTTCAAGTGCCCCCCCCCCCCCCGGAGAAAAAAGTCTGGAAGAAACACTGGTTCCACCCCCCCCCCCACCCCCACCCCCCTCTCCATTGCGAGCGCCTCTGATTGGTTTACTTGCTTGTGTATTATTTCTATAGGTCAAGTACTCGGACAATCAATTAGATTTACAATGTTTACAATATTAGTCAACGAAATAAAATGCATGGGATTGATCATTGATTGTTACAATTTTTATCTAAAATAATTTCGGTTAAATTACTGTAAAATCTAGATCTAGTTTTGCAAAAATAGTTGAAGTCAATAAAAAAATTGAACTTCCGGAGACACGCTGTAAACAAACCGAAAGAAGCCTACAAAATGAATTTAAAAGAATAAATTTTTACTTAACATTTTTTATTATAGATCTATCTAGATCAAGATCTATATTACATTATTTACACCCCATGGCCCATGCGTATTAATTAGGCTAATAGAATCTAGATCTAGCATAGTAAGCCCTAATAATACTTGTAACTATTTTTTGTATTTTAGTATTTTTTAGGGGTGTGGGGAAATTGCGAGACGCGAAAAGCGAAATGGCGAGGCGGGAAAATGCGAGAAGGGCACGAAAACGGTCGGTCACGTGACTTTTTTGTCTCGCATTTTACCACAAGCCGATACTTACGCTGGGTGTTGTTGAAATGCGAAGATTTCTGCGAAAAATTTACCGCACCCGATTTTCAGTGGTATTTAGTCCAGACTTCAAAGACGTTTCGTTTAGATTGTTAAAACTTCCGATTTTTCCGTCGCTAGACATACTGATGATTTGTCAACTCCCCCCATCTTTTGTGTTGACTTAGAATACCACCTTGTTCGAAACCGACGGAAATACCGCCGCCGATAGATCAACTTCTGTCTTTTGTGTGGAACGCCGAGGCCGCCTGATTTACCTTCTTTGAAGATCGCAGTGCCCGGATCCGCTGCCGCCGCAAACATATTTTCTATTGTTGCATAGAAATTTTGTATTATAGCCGCCGCCTACGATTTTTTCTAGCTTTTTTTTTACCATATAAATCTAAGCACAAGGAAATGCCTACATCATTTGGATACAACAAAATAAAGTGACGTCACCGATATTATCAGTTGCTCGTGCTATATCGTAAGCTATGAGCCTACTTCAAATATTTTTAAAACCAAGTTGAACTTATCTGAATTTTTTTGGTTTTGGTGGTGGTATTTTGGGTCTTCCATAAATGACGTCACACTCGTAAAGGGGGGGGGGGGTCTGTAATTTTATGACGATGTGTGATGAGGGGGAGGAGGGGGGGGGTAGATGTGAAGTCACACTATAAAAAAGCAATGTTAGAAAAAGAATTTTAGACGTTTTTTTCGCGTTTTAGAAAACTGTTTTAATACATTGTAATAGGAATTGATTAAAATACTCTATTTTGACCGAAATTAGACAAGATTTTGGGAAAATATCGATGTTTTAAAAAAACTCAACTGCTGGTGACAACAATGAGCAAGACATTGCCAAAATTAAGAAATGATAAAAAATACAAATTATAAAAAACGGAAAACAGATGTTGAGCGTGCGGATGATGATGATGAGAACATGGGTGCCAGTGTTGTTTGTGGGATGAACGAGGAGGTCAACTGTGATGAGAATGTGAAATGTTGTGAATGTGGATCGGAAGAAGTAGCAAAAGAAAAATGTATATATGGGAGTCTAATGAACTGGGTTGGGTGTACTATGTGTGAAAGCTCGTGTTAAAGGGTATGGCTAAATGCTTGTTTATTTTAAAACAAAAAAAAATAATTTAAATAAATAAAGATGGAAAAAAAAGGAAAAAACTTTTTTCGCAAAAAGTGTCTCGCTATTTACCCTTAATTCCGCAGGTATGTCTCGCATTACCTTCTCGCATTTTCCCGCCTCACCATTTCGCTTTTCGCGTCTCGCAATTTCCCCACTGAGATTAAAGTTTAATCATTAAACTAAAACAGTCACAGAAGTGTCACGGATTTGTGTCACATAAAAATTCGGTAGGCCTAACTAATTACCGACTAATCTATCTAATACTATCTATAGTTTTAGGTACGTAAAATTGGTACGTTTAATAAAGTAGGGCCTATATATTGTGATATAACTGTGTCAAATATAACGAAGTGACTACTCGGAAGATTTTTCTCCCCAACGTCTCCACTTAGTCGGCAAAAGATAGCTAGTGCTAGAATGAGGGTTAGGGGTAGGGTTAGGGATAGTATACACCATTGCATGGTAAATTAAAAGCAATGTCTAAATATATCAATAGGAGGCTATAGGCCAGAAATTAACTTTAAAAACAGCTGTGCTTGAGAGCCAGATTAAGATTTGCTATAAAAACAGCTGCCATCTGTAAATCAGAGTGGTTTCCCCTGAATCTCTAAATTAATATAACAAAAAAAAAAAAACAACTTAAGGTGGCTGTTAAAGTAAATGAGCTTGGTTGCATCTGATGAAAACATCGCTAACCGTTTCTTAATGTTGAAAAGTTTTAATTAGGCATTTCGACTTCCGCTGTTTTGATTCGGTACAACCACATCCGGACTTTTTCATCTTACTTGTTGAAATTCGCCATTTTTTAACATCGAAGAATAAAATGTATTCGATATGAATATTTGAGTTGTATTTTATCTTTTATACATACTAATAAATGAAGTAACTCCCGTTTTACATTGTTTGATACCGAAAGCGATCAACTATAATAGCAAATATTTGTCAAAATGCCGATGCTACTGAGCTGGCGTATCGAAAACTAAATTTCAGATATAAATAATCATTTAAATTACATGACAATAGGACTAAATAACATGCCAACCATTTGGATAAATAGAAATGTCGTGCGTAATTTCATAATGGCGGCCGCGTTACAATATATTAATAAAAAGTTTGCGCATACGATGTTTTTAATAGCTGTTTGTTTTTAAATGGACTGTTACAATAAAATGGGCTTTGAAATAAAAATACTGTATATCTAAATTATTAGCATTGATATAATTGTATACAGATAGAAATGGCTGATGATAAAGAATCTTGCTTGTCCCCATCTGGTACAGCTACACCAAAGGGAAAGGTAGTTATCTCTCTTTATAGTAAATTTTATATTCATGTATGCATCAGTCAATGTTAGCTATATTTGTTGTATTTTTTGCGAATCAAATGTTTTTGTAATAAGGGCGTGAAAAATATCTTTGTATAAGATGAATTAGTTTGCTTTACCAATTTTTTTAATAATTGATAATGTAGTATTTGTTTTTATGCATAGCTTGAGTCACTGCCAAAAGAAGATTTAGTCAAGTTTGTAAAAAGGCAAACATTGCTGCTACAAAAAGAAAAGGCAAAATGCTCTGGTATGCTGATACCTTTGAATCGTCTTTTAAAACATTGTAATATTTATAGTTTGGTTATTTACATGCTAATTGCTATTTTTTTTTATGTTGTCCGCAAATGTTTTCATGATAAAAAAATTATTGGTTTTTAATTTTTTTTTAAAATAATTCTAGTTGAAGGATTATATTTTAGGCCTGCATTAAATTTGCACTGTAATCAGCTTTAATTATATTTATTTATATTTATATTTATATATATATAAATTTATATATTTTATATATTTTAATTTAATTTATATATTTATATTTATATATATATTTATATTATATTTATTTATTTATTATATTATAATTGAATTATAATCCATTTATAGTAATACTTTTTAAAATGTGAATAAAAATTGAGCACAAGAATATTTTTCTAGAACTAGAACTTAAAATAAAAAGTCTTGAAAAGAGTAAAGAGAAAGAACACAATGATGGTGCTGGAGATGGTAAAACAGAGACCACGTCAAGAATCAAAGTAGGTGTACGTTTGTAATTTGTTAAATATCTTTACGTTTATAAAAAAAAAAGATTTTTTTGCCAAAACATAACTTTCTTTAAACCTTAAAACTAATTTTTATGTTTAAACCACAGGAACTGGAAGAACAAGTCCAAGAGCTGATGACAGAAAAGGAGGAAGCTGTTGCTGCCTATAATGCTGTGCAGGTTAATCAAGAATCATCAGCCGAACAGATGAAGGTAAAATTAGCAGTTAATAATAATTGTTCGAGTGAATTTGACAAGTGTATGATAATTCTTGAGGTCCTATGCTACACAAGAAGTAACGAGGACAAAGTGTTTATTTTGTTAATTACAATACATTTAACAGCTTGCAGTAACTAAAACTTATGATAGATTTTTTCCGAAACAGTGTTACACTTCTGGATTGTATTTGAAATATTTTATGCCAACAGAGGCTGGAGGACCTGTACCAAGAGAAGCAACAGGAGTGGGAGGCAGAGTGCCAGAAGCTACTTACATTGGAGAAAAAGAATAAGGTATTTCATGTCAAGTGTGGTACATTCATTGAAGACTTAGGAGGGTTGTCAAGGAAAAGCATCATTCAATTGTGCTGGTAACTTATAGAATCTATATTAACATGCAGGTGATGCAAAACTTAACAGAAACTAAACCATTAATGAATACATGGTGATAAGCTGATAAAGATGGGGTGGCGTGGCCTAGTGGTAGAGAGCTAGACTGCTAACCCAAGAGTCTCGAGTTTAAATCCAGGTTCAAACCATTGAACGTCACTGAGTCCACCCAGCTCTAATGAGTACCTAACTCACATTAGGAAAAAAAAGGCGGCTGGACATAGTGCTGACCACGCTATCTCTTCATATGGGGAGGTCTCTGAGGCAGATGAACTCTACTTCATCTGCCCCATGTGTCTTGGGCATGAATGGGAAATGATGATGATGAAGCTGATAAAGAAATTAATTTGTTTTAAAAGGTGTTTTTCTATTAATCTTTTGCTTAAAATGAATTTTTCTGAATCATCTTATTGAAAGAACTGGAAATATGATATTTTAATCTAGAAAAGCTTTCAGTAGTTCAGTATTTAACTGTTCGTCATTTAAGTTTATACTGATTTAGTTTCAAGTGCCTTTGGAATTTTTTTAAACAACTATTAACATTAGGCTTTACTGGAGGAAATAGAGTGCTTAAAGATGAAAGATGAGACCTTGACCTCAACACTGCAGTGCCTTCAACAAGAACAGACAACTCTGATTGAAAACAACAAGGTAAACTCCCTTTAGTTTTTTTAAGAAATATTTTGTGATCTGTTTTTAAAAAAGAAAATGTAATTAGTGGTTTGTAAATATTTTTTTTAGATTTTGCTAATGGTTTTTTTTTCATACATTGTAGATTCTTATTGCTGAAAAATCTACCTTGCAAATGAAGCTGGAGGATCTAGAGGAAGAATCATTGTCTTGGAAGTCTGAAAAAGAATCCCTGGTGGCCAAGCTGTCATCATCCAGTGATGATAACAAAACAATGGGCGAACTTGAACAGCTAAATCTGGAGCTAAAAACAAAGCTTGAGGCGGCCTTGAATGCCAGCACAGAGAAAGAAGACGCTTTGGAGAGATTATCCTCCGACTCCTCCCAAAGGAAGGAACAGATAGAACTACTGCAGGTGGAGATATGCAGGCTTCAGAATGTTGCTGCTGAGAAGGAGGATCTGTGTTGCCAGTTGAAAGATGCCCAGATGCTGGTGGATGAGCTGACAGCTAAATTAGAGAATTCAGATCTGGAGTTGGAGGAGATGAAAAAGAAAGTAGAATTTTTACAACAGAACGAAGAGGTAATGAAAACAGAATCCCAGGATATACAGCTTCAGTTGAAAGGTGAGCTGGAAAAATTGAGAAAAGAAAATGATGAGCTGATGGTTTCAAGTCAACAAATTAAATCAGAGTTTGAAAATTTCTCAAGTGATAAGTCTAAGTTTGAAGAGATTCAAGGCAGACTTGAAACTGAAATAGAAAAACTGACACAGAATCTCCAAGATGTGACATCTGAAAATAAAAATTTGGTTGAAAAATTAGCAAACTTTTCTGGCAACAGTGAGCAGAATAATTTAGATATTTTAGAACAAAAGGTGGCATTGATTTCTAAGCTAGAGAAAGATCTAGCAGAGACTAGATCTAAGCTGTCTGACTATGAAGCCAGTCTTGGCGATGAATTCAGCATTGATGTGATACAGAACCTTCAGCAGGAGCTGGCTGATGCCAGAATGAAAATATCTGAGCTGGAGTCTGCTGCAGATGAGGGTCACAGCTGTGAGGACAGCAGGTCACAAGCAGCCCAATCCCAACAAGGTGGGTGGTCAGATCTACCTGACATAGCCGAGGAGCCAGAAACAGAACCGCAGCAAAAAGGGGGCAGAAATTTCAGGAACGACAACTCTCAAGCGAACGAAAACAGTGAGGGTCAGTATGTGTACACTGAGAGAATTGAAAAGTTCATCCGTGTGTCGAGTCATGTGTCAGAGGCAGAGGGATACGATAAAGATTCTTCTCGAGTTGATACCCTCAAAGCCAAATTGCTGGAACTGGAGAAAGAAAAGAGCGCCTTAAAGTTGACCGTTGAACAGCTGCAGATGCAAAGAGAGTTGAACGCAAGCAAGGAAGAAAGCTCAGAGAGTCAGAAATTCCAAGAAGTTATTGACAACCTGCAGGTTCAAAGACAACACCTGGAAGAGAAGCTGGTGATACTAGGAGATAAACATGAAACTGTGACTTTTGAACTCGAAGAGCTCTACGCTGAGAAAGACAGTTTAAAATCTGAAGTGGAATCCTTACAGCGCCAACTCCAAGAGTGGGAGAACATGATGACCATGCTGAAGGAAGAGAAGGACAGCCTGGCTCAAGAGCTGGAGGAGTCTGTGAACAAAGACAGCTCCCTAAGGAAGGAGCTGGAGTTCCTGCTGTCTTCCCTGAACGAGGCCATTACTGAAAGAGACACCTTGCAGGACGAGGTGTTCAAGCTGTCCCAGCATGAGGACTCAGCACAGGGGGACGTCAAGGAAATGAAGTCCATGATTCAAGATATCATAGCTGAGAGGAACAGTCTACTGGCTGAGCTGGATTCTGTTCTCACTGCCAAAACAGATTTAACCATAGCCATGGAGGGCTTGAAGAGAGAAGCTGAGGAGATGAGGGTTCAGAAAGAGGACATTGAAAGAGAGAAGGAGTCCTTGTTGGTCAGGCTTCACCTGGCGGAGGATAAGGACCTGAGCATGCATGAGGACTTTGAAGCCCAGCTCCAGAGATCAACAGAGATGGAGACAGCTGCTCAAGGGCTGCAGCAGGAGGTGGAGGGTCTCAGGGCAGAGCTGGAATCTCTCAGACAGGCTGCGGAGGCGGCTGAAAGAAAGAAAACAGATGCGGAGAGTCATGCAGAAGAAAGGAGCAACTACAGCAAGGAGTTAGAGAACCAGGTGAGAGAAGTGTTTAAAAGTATTTTAAAATCATTGCTTTTTCTTTATGGAAATTTCAAAATATTATAGGTACTAATTTTGTAACAGCTTTAAATCATTGGTATTAAGTTTTTATAAATTACATAGATTTTAAAAATTATTTGTATTAAATTACTCGGATATTGTACATTTCTTGATTTTTACAATTATTGATTATTGTGTTTATAACTTTAATTAATTTTTAAAAAAATTCTATTAGTTTTTAAATGTTGTTAATGAATGGAAATTGTTTGGCTATGTTTTCTTTCTCACCTTAAATACATTATAAACAGTTAAAAAAAAGACATCGTCTTCATGTAATATTTGTTCCTCTTCTTGCCTCATTTTTTAGATTTTAGAATTAACCAACACTCTGACAGAGTCAAAGAAACGCTATGAAGTTCTGAAAGAGCAGTTTGACGAGGCCACGTCTAACAATGCTGACACAGCCAAATACTGCCAGCAAATTGAGGAGCTGGAAATCAATAAAGCTGTGATGGAGAGGCAGCTAAAAGGGGAGGTAACTGTAAAACAAGAACTGGAAAAAGAAAAACTAGAATTAGAAACTCAGCTGTCTTCTGCTACTCAGGAAGTTAATGAACTTAAAATAAAATTGGAAGAAGCACACTTAGAAAAACAAGAATTGGAAAAAGTGGCCAACGAAACTATGTCAAAGCTCAACATACTGGAGCAGGATATAGCAACCTTAAAGGCAAACCTTGAAGAAACTGAAAAAGAAAAGTCTGACGTTATAAAAGAATTGGAGATTTATAAAGAAAAAGTTACAGTGAGTGAAAGTTTAGTGCACAAAGTGGAAGAGGAGCTGACGGATGCCAGACAGCAGGTAGCACAGCTGCATGAAGAGATTGCAAATTTCAAATCTGGTGACTGCGAAACTTTGAATTTAATAGCAGAGAAAACAGAAAGCCTGAATTCCTGCCTAAGTGAGAAAGATGGGCTAGCTAAATCTGTGGATGATTTGAACCTAAAGTGCAGTGCTTTAGAGGCTGAAATTACAGAGCTGAGGAGTTCAAATGAGTTGCTAGTCTCAGAAAACCAAACGCTGTTGTTAAGTGCTGAAGAGCTGCAGAAAGAAGTGGGTGATTACAAGGTCAAGGTGTCTTCATTAGAACAGGAAGGGATGCAGCTTAAGGAGTTAAATTCATCATCAGAGTCATCTTGCACTGAATTGTTGCAGAAAAAACAGGAAGAAATGTCAAGCATGGCAGCATCTTTATCAGCCCTGGAGTCTGAATTGGATCAAGAAAAGGAGAAGTCACGTGACTTGGAGCAGAAGTCAAGTGAAATGAGCAGAAGATGTGCAGAAGTGGAAGCAAAGCTTGACCAAGCTACCCAAGAGAAGGAAGACTTAAATGTGAACATAACAAACCATTTGTCTCATATCTCTCAGCTAGAGCTTGAGTTAGCTGAAGCACAGCAGACGTTATCAGAATCTCAGAAAGAGGCTGAAGCATTGGCTTTGGAAAAACAAGACCTTGAAAAGAGGTCAGAGTTGAATGAGAATGAAATCAAAGAATTAACAGAGAGAGTTGAGGCACAAGACAAGGAGTTGAGTAGTATGAAGGGAGACATGGATTCTCTGAGAGAGGAGAAAGAAAGGCTGCTGGAGAGATTGGAGGAGGTGAAGAACAACTTGGGGCCTGCTGCTGACCAGGTTGTAGAGATGGAGAAGAGAGTGGCAGAGATGAAAGGGAAATGTCTTGAGTTACAGGATAGGTTTGATAGGATGCTTGCTGAAAAAGATGCAGAAATTGTTTCATTAAAAAGTGTGGTTGAAGTTTTGGAAAAGTCAAAGAATGACCTGAATGTGTTGATTGATGAGCAGAACAAGGTCAAGGATGAGTTAGAAAACAAGATGGATTCTGTCATACAAGAAAAGTTGGGACTTGAGCAGAAGATAACCCAGGTGGAGGAGAAGCTACAACTTGTACAGGAGAAGCTACAGAAGTCAGAGGAAGAGAGGGGTGAAGAGAGGAGACAGAAACAAGAGTTAGCTGCCCTGCTGGAAGAGGTCAAGGTTGAGCTGAATAAAAACTCCAACCACAACAGTGAACACATAGAGCAGCTGGCAGAGCTAAGATGTAAGTTGTCAGAAACTGAAGCCAGAGCTCAAAATCTGCAGGCTCAAATTGAATGTATCTGTGTAGAAAGGGAGGAACTTCAAACTCAAATTAAAGTCTTAGAGGGAGCAAAAGCAACTTTAGAATCAAGTTTAGCTGAGGTAACAGATGAAGCTCAAAGTTTGAAAGGAAGCTTAGAATGTGTGACAAATGAGAAAGAAACTTTGTCGTCAAAGTTGACATCTGTGATAGATGAGAGAGAGCAGGAGTTGGCGAGGCTGAGGGAGGAGGTGGACATGTACAAGAGATCAGCGGAGGAGTCAGCTGAGAGCCTAAATAACTCACGGCAAGAATGTGAACAGCTGAGGGTCAGGCTTGCTGTTGAGGGCCAGGAAACCAGGGACAAGGAAGAAGAAAATCTACAGAAAACTAACGAGGTTGGTAGATTAGCTGTTTAAGTTGATACATTAGCTGTTTAAGTACAAATGTAATTATGGAATGAAATAAATTTTTTAAATGTATGTAAAAAAAAAGTGTAAATTATGTCTTGAGCTATGACTTTAAAATTATAAGTCATTTTATTTTCACAGTAAACCATGTTAGGAATTCTAGACTAGAATTAGACATTTGTTGTTATAGAAAAGTATGTTGGGTGTTCTTAACTAGAACTAAACTTTTTTTTAAGAGTCATGTTTTGCAAAATTTAAGTGAACGATGCTAGATATATTAAAAAATTTCTTTCTCAAGGATTTGAACAACGTTACATCACTGACCAAACAGCTGAAAGAGAAAGAAGAAATCAACAACAAGCTCAAACAGCTGGCTATTAAAGCAAAGAAAGAGTTGGGGGAGAAACAAGCTAAGGTATGTTAGATATTCTTATTTAGATCTAGATAACTATTTATACAGCACACACTCACTATTACTATTTTATAAAATCCTAGTCAAACCAAAAGGGCTATGACTAGACCGAAGGCTTCAAGTGAGGTCCAAAAATGTATTTAGTGAAGCCAAAAAGAGATTTAGTGAGGCCAAAAAGGGATTTTGTGAGACCAAAGTGGGATTTAGTGAGGCCAAAAGAAAATTTAGTGAGGCCAAAAAGATATTGTAAAAAGGCTATTATTTTATGGGTTAAAAAAAAACAACTTTTTAGTTTCTCTTGATTTCTCTGCAATCATCCTCAAGGAGTGAGGGTACACTTGATCTTCATTGTCCTATACAGTTGAAATGAGTTTACCTGTGTATGGGTAGCCACTTACTGCATGTTTAAAATTTGATTGTATTACAGAAGTATTAAAGCCAAACTCTTTTGTGTAGTAGATTAAAGGTAAAATATTTGTTTACAGTTGGACTCTGTGACAAAAGAATTGAAACAACTGGCCAAATCAAAAGAAGAACTGGAAGCTTTGAACGAGGCTCTGCGCAAACAGTCAGGCGACTCGTCTGATTTGCTCTCTCAGCAGTTGAAAAACTTGCAGGAAAACTATAAGGTCAGTTGAATGATGTTGTAGGAATATTATAAGGTCAGTTGAATGATGTCATAAAAAAATTATATGCTCTGTTGAATGATATTACATTAAAAAATTATATGGTCTGTTGAATGATATTACATTAAAAAATTATATGGTCTGTTGAATGATATTACATAAAAATTATAAGGTCATTTGAATGATGTAGGAATATTATAAGTTCATTTGAATGATGTTGTAGGAATATTGTAAGGTCAGTTCAATGATGTTGTAGAAAATTATAAGGTCAATTGTATGATGTTTTTAAAAATGTTATAAGGTCAATTGAATGATTTGGCTTAATAGTTATAAGATCAATTGAATAATATTGTAGGATAATTATATTTATAATGTCAGTTGAATAACATTGTATGATAATTATGAGGTCAGTTGAATGATGCTGCATGTTGATAATGTGGCATACCTTAATCTCGAACAGCTTAACTTTATCCCCCCAGCAACTCCAAGCAAGTTTTGACCAAGCCCAGGATGAGGCTGACCATGAGAGGAAAGCCCTGAAGACTGCCCAGAGAGACACAGAGCAGCTGATCCTCCAGCTGACTGAGGCTAAAGGTCAAGTCATCTCCATTAAAGAAGAGAGGGACCAATGCTTCAAACAAACTGAAGGACTTAAAGTGGAGATCAAAGTAACTTTTTAAACACTATCAGCAGCCTCAATACTTGTTAATAATTTTTACCAACCAGTGAATAAAAACTGACTATTAGGAAGGAATGGGTTTAATTATATAAATACTTCTTCAATTGTTTAAAGTTTTTATCACAATTAAGCGTTACTGCCAGTCTTCTAACATACTTTGGTTGAATATTTAATATTTATTGCTGTGATTACCTGTGTAAAGAAAATCTTTATTTAATTTGTACACATTTTACAGAAAATAATTGATTTACCTTCATAAAAATATTTTGTGTTTAATTTGTCATCATATTGTTATTGTCCAGAGCAGGGACAGCATGATTGAGGAAATGAAAACCAAGCTACGAGCCACCGAAGCAGAGCTGGGGGTGTTGAGGATCCAGGTGGAAGAGGTCAACAAAGAAAGACAAAGGGTTGGAAACATTTTTATTTTTTTATCTGTTATTGTCACCACAGTTAGTCATTAGTTAATTCTTTGTTGTGGGGTGGGTTATGATTTTACAAAAATCCCTCCAATTATAATTTTGATCTAAAATTTAGCGCCAGTAAAACACAAGTGAAAATGATTTTTAGTTATCTGTTAACTGTTTGTACAAGGGCTTGTTTTGTACTCAGTACACAGGCCCAATGTGTAGGTAGATGACTGTGTAAATAACTTGTTCACTCTTTCAGTCTGAGCAGAAGGTTTCAGAGTCTGAGTCAAAATTGAAAGCAATGGAAGAGAACTACAAAGGTCAGATCTTAAAACTGGAGACTAGTGTGAAGGATTACCAGGACCAGTTGACCACAGCAAGACAGGTCAGGCAGTCTCATTTGTAGAGCACAATTATTCATTCCATTTTATTACACTGCAAATTATAAATTATAAGTTTTCTAGCCAGTTCAGTATCCATGTCTCAAAATTTGAAAGCTTGCTCTGTGTTATTATTAAATAAGATCAAATATTTAAAATCAGATCAATTTATTTCCTTTATTTTCCATTATATTATGAAACAAGTTGTATTCTTTGTTTAGTCAATGAAACAAATAGTCTCCCTTGTTTATTTAATGAACCTGTTATCTCCCCTGTTCAGTCCATGAAACAGAACAGCATGCTGGATCTGGAGATGGCAGACTATGAGCGTACAATTGCTACACTCCATGGTCAAGTTGAAGAGCGAGACCGTAGAGTGGACGACCTGAAATCTGAAATTGACAAACTGGAACAGAGGATAACTCTCATGCAAACTCAGATAGGTTTGTCAGTTGTCTTTTATCTTGGTTAAATTTGCTCAACTTAAGAAAACAAAAATGCCCTTGCGCACTTTTTTGTGCACAGTTTTCCATTACACATCTTTCTGGTCAGCTTATAAACATTTTTCCTGGCCCGCTACTTTTGTGCTAAACATTTTTTCCTGGCCCGCTATTTTTCGTGCTAAACATTTTTTCCTGGCCCGCTATTTTTATGCTGAACATTTTTTCCTGGCCCACTATTTTTCGTGCTAAAATTCATTTGCTGTTGGTTCCACTTGTGCCTACAAGAGTTAAAAACATTAATTATATAATTTATAGAAATTGATTGTGATACAACTGCTGATGATATATTTAGAAACATAATATTAGACAATGATTTTATCTAATTTATACATATTTTAAAAAGCTACCCCTTTGAACCTGATGGTCAAAAAGTCCGGTAAAGTAGAACCCATCTATTTACAACGGCTGCAACACATTTTGAAATGGTGTATTCAGTTCCCAGCCTGACCTAAGTCAGGTACCCATTAGAGCTGGGTGAACAACAAAATAACATCGTGTACAATGTGGAGTGGGGAACATCGTTTGATGCACATGGTGGCTTGACCACACAGTGTAGACACTAAGAAACCTGTTGTTGTTTTTTTAGCTACTTCAGATGAGCAGAAGCTGCAAGCTGAGGACAGAGCTAACAAACTCAAGTCACTGCTGGTCAAAACAAAGAAAGAACTAGCAGACGCTAGAAACATGGTATTCATTTTTAAAACTTCTCTATCAATTTGTTCATGATTTTTAAAATTATATTTTGGTGTTTGTTTTTATTTTTAAACCTTCTCTATCAATTTGTTCATAATTTTTAAAATTATATTTTAATTTCTGTTTTTATTTTTAAACCTTTTGCCAATTTGTTCATAATTTTAAAAAATATATTTTCGTGTTTTTGATTTTTAAACCTTTTGGCAATTTTTTCATAATTTTAAAAATTATATTTTGGTGATTTTAATTTTTAAACCTTTCGGCAATTTGTTCATAATTTTTAAAATTATATTTTGGTGTTTTTAAACTACTTGTTATTTATTGCAATTATTTTTTTAAAAATTATCTTTACATTTTCTCCCTATCTTTAAAGGAAACTGTTCAGAGATCATCTGATGCCCATTTGCGTGGTCAGTTAGAAAATACTAGTCAACAAATAGAAGAGTTAAAGGTAAAATTATCTTCAATTATATTGATTACTAGAGTACAAAATATACAATAATTTAACTCTAATGACATAAATGCATATAAACAATACATCTAAGATTTTTTTATCTTAGGTACAAGTGTCAGAAATTACAGCAGAGAACCAGAAACTTCAGGACAAAATCAGATCTCTGAATGACAGTAGTCAACGCACTATAAAATCATTGGAGGCTAAAGTGGAGTCACTGACTAATGAGCTTGATGTAACCAAGACTGAACTACATGAGATTCAGGCCGATTATGACAACTATAAGGTTAGTCTGAAGTGGTTTACCCTAACTTCTACAAATTGCAATTAGACAACTATCCTTATGCTTACAGATTGACTTTTATAAAACCTCAATAAAAAGAAAAAAGTATTTAAATATCTTAAGTACAATATCTATACAAATTTCTCTGCCATTTACAATTATATTAAATTCTTTAAATTTTGTAAAAAAAAAATTCTAGGACCAAAACCTTGTTTATTTTAATTCTGTGGGAAATCGTGTAGCTTATTAAAATGACATTAAAATAGTTTTTTTTATAAGTAAATTTTTTTTTAAAATCTTGATTTGAATCAGATTTATAGATGCTCTCTTATGAAAGGTTCTTTTTATTTGAGATATTACAATACATCAGTTTTTTGCCCAATATGCTGCATTTGCCAATACTAAGTTTTAAGTTTTCTTAAAATATAGATTTTTATGTTAGGACTTAAATGTTATTGTTTCAATAAAAAACGAAGTCTCAAAAAGCTTCCTCTTATAATCTGTAACAGGTTCGAGCCCATAGTGTACTAAGACAGCAGAAAACCAAGACCTCAGCTGATTATGTCTCAGAGCCTGACAAACATGAAAGGTAACTCAGACCTGTTATTTCTCACTCTTATTGCCCACATTACCTTCCCTTCTAAAAACTATCCCTCTTCCCCTTGAAGGCTTAATTTCTCTCCCTTTGAAAGCTGAATTTCTCTCCCTTTGAAGACTACATTTCTTTCTTTATAGTCCACATTTCTTTCTTTTATGTCATAATTTTGTATTAAAGTAAAAAATTAACAAGTTTTTCAAATTTATTCTACTTTAGGTTTTTATTTTTCTGCTATTTCTGTGGAAGCATCAGCTTTGGTGCAAATAATCCTCAGTTATTTTAGCCTTTTTCTTTTTATTCTGAATGTTGCATGAAGTATTTTTGACAAAAATGCTGTATTCCATTTTGTTTTAACAGAGAAAGATTTGAAAGTGCCATTGACCAACTGAAGACCAAGCTCCAGGAGACACAGTAAGTAATTAAAAATTCCTTTGATCAGGTCTGCTGAATAATTATCTTGAATAGAAAAAAAAGGTATAATTAAAGACATATTCAAAGTAGATTGTTCATTAAATTAGATACTGATATATACAATATGTGTATGCGTAGACTACTTTTGTTTTTAAACTATGTTATATTTGTGTACTAAATAAACTCCTGTTTTGCTTGCAGTGACAAACTTGTAAATTCCAGAAAAGAAGGGGAACAACTGCAGGAAGAACATGACAATCTTGTACAAAGACACACCAAACTGCTCAGTGACATGGAAGAAAAAGAGACAACATTCAAACGCAGGTGAAGTATTTTTTTAAATATATACAGCAACCCTGCTAACTTGTGACAGACCCCAGTTCAAAGTGATTTTCCAAAGATTGCACATATTGCGGCTAAAGGCTTCTGTTAACTCTTTTAGAACAAAACAGGATGTGTCCCAATGAAAGAGTCAGCAGGATCAACTGTACCAATATAAATGATTGAATATGATTTAAAGCACAATTTAGATAGCAAGCCCTTATTTATATCTAATTTAAATATTTATCTAGTTGATTTCTTTAAAGTTTAACATCAGAGTTGAACTTGTAGACAAAGTTAGACATGTTTTATACCTAAACTTTTTGTCTGAGATATTTTACAGATATAGATAGTCATTCTCTAATCCTATTTATATTGTAGAAATATAATGTAAATGATGATAGGTATAATATTTTCATGTGGTAAAATATAATTCTCCCATTTATAATTGGTAAAATGTCACAGGAGTAAATTTAATTCTCCTAATTACAGATGGGAAATGTTACAGAAGTAAATTTAATTCTCCTAATTACAGGTGGGAATTGTTACAGAAAGAAAAAGCCGAAGCTCTGTCAGAACTCCAGGAAAAAATTGCCAGCCTGGAAACTCAGAAATCTTTTCAAGCCCAGAAATACAAGGTAGTGCGTCATTTTAAAGGAATTGGTTTTAACTGTCAGCTACAGGGTAGTGCTTAGCAAAATAAAGGTTGGCAGCAAACTATGACATTAATTTACTGCTCATCAGAAGGATTAAATAGTGCTTATTTTAAGAAAATAACATGTTAATTAGTTTCCATTTTTGACGTAATATCTTTTATTTAGCAAAGTAATCAAAACTAACTACTTAAAGTACCAGAAGACTGATGGTATTGTGTGTTTACAAATTTACATTTACACACATATAAATAATGTTCTAGCATTTGTTAATAATTTGTTGAATTTTCAAGTTAGATTAACATTTGTCTTTTAACTTTATCACAAATTGTTATGAAAAACATGTTTTTCCTATATTAGAGCTGTTTGTTAACTTGTAAATATTTTTCTTTCTATTTCTAAGGAACAAATCGTCAAGCTGAAAGAGGATCACATGGATGCATTGGATGTATTACAGAAACAACTGGATTCTTCAGAAATGGATAACATTCGTCTCCAGCGTGAAATTCAAACTTTGCAGAGATCTGCCAGAGGAAGAGACGAATCAGCAGAGCACACGTCACCGCATGAGTTCTATCCAATCACAGCACACCCTGTTGAGGAAAGACAGGAAGGGGAGGTAATTCTTTTTTTTGTATGTGATAGAAGAAGCTGATCCATCAAGATAATTTGGTAGTTAAAATATTCTAACCATAGATGTTTACACTGAGATGCTATATACATTTATTTCAGGGTTCAGAAGTGGTGGACTTGGAGCCATTAAAGGTAGGGGATTTATTTTGTTGATTGCTACATATGCCACATAAAACTTTTTTTCCGTTACCAATAAAATTATTTTTTTTTTTTTAATTTTCAATCCACCAGACTGCTAAAGCAAACCATCCAGTTCCTTCCTTGACGTTTGAACAGCTCATATCTACACCAATGGATGAGTTGCCAGGTAAAACTTTGTACAATCATATTAACCCTTTTTAACCCATATGACCACCCAAAGCAACATTTATATCAGGGTTCTGTTAGTTTTATTGCCAAACAAGACAAAAATATTGTTAATGTTAATTTGGTAGCCCATTCTATATTGAAGATTCCATTAGCAAATGTTGTACTTGATACAATCTTTGCTTTGACTTGAATTATTTAATTTATAAAAATAAAACATTCTTAGTTACATCTTAACCCAATAGAAATTGCTCTCAGTTCTGTTTTTCTTATAATCTGATGTAATTTTGCTTAAGATACAATACGAGGCCAATAATGCCATAAGACTTTGATATTTATTTTAGGAATCAAATCTCCTACACCAAGCATTGATGAAGACACTTTAAAATTTAACCTTGTGACCTCTCAAAAAAGGATTGATCATCTCACAGAGGTACACTCAACACTTCACATTGTATTATAATATAAAAGTTGTCTACTCATAAGAATTGTATGTCTTCATTTTCACATCCATCCTTCCAATTCAGCTAAAATCTGCTATAAAAGAAAACGTATTTCTACACATAAAATTGTCAGAATTTATAGTCAGATACACTCTATTGTTTTCAGTTGCTGAATGAAAGTGAAGAGTCCGTCTCAAGGTTGACAGAGCAGGCCAGGCTACTGAAGGAAGAAATCAGAAGGCTAGAGAGGAACACAGAGAGGGAGAGGGAGCTGCAGAACATGGAGTACCTCAAAAATATTTTCCTGCAGGTAATCAGCTGTTTGTCTCATGTCCGACTGATCTCTGACTTAAATATAAAGAGCTGCATTTTTTTTTCAAACTTGTTTTGTCATTTTGCTAAGTTAACTGGCATTTAGATGGCATGGCCGGTTCATTTATATACTTAAATGGAAAATCCTGATATAAATCTACATTTTTTGTTTTGTAGAACGTCCTTGTGTTCAACTGGTTCTCATGGTTACATAGCTTCATTTGGGGGTATTTAAGGCAGCTGGGTATTGTTGGCCAGGTGTGCTAGACCTTACTCCAAATAGAACAAATATCTGATTGGACCATCAAGTGTGTGCATCTAACATGAGCACTTCATTGGTTCACATAGCATTATTGCATCAAGTTTATATGTAAAAGTGAAAGATACTTGAATAACGACACCAACCATTTTTTTTATTGTCATCTTTGTATGATCTAGTTTGTGTCCAAAAGTTGGGGAACAAAGACAACAGCTTATACCTGCGCTGGTCACTATGTTAAAACTTTTTATTGTTGTCCTGTTTGATCTAGTTAATGTGTCCAAAAGTTGGAGAACAAAGACAACAGCTTATACCTGTGCTGGTCACTATGTTAAAACTTTTTATTGTTGTCCTGTTTGATCTAGTTTATGTGTCCAAAACTTGGGGAACAAAGACAACAGCTTATACCTGTGCTGGTCACTATGTTAAAACTTTTTATTGTTGTCCTGTTTGATCTAGTTTATGTGTCCAAAAGTTGGGGAACAAAGACAACAGCTTATACCTGTGCTGGTCACTATGTTAAAACTTTTTATTGTTGTCCTGTTTGATCTAGTTTATGTGTCCAAAAGTTGGGGAACAAAGACAACAGCTTATACCTGTGCTGGTCACTATGTTAAAACTTTTTATTGTTGTCCTGTTTGATCTAGTTTATGTGTCCAAAAGTTGGGGAACAAAGACAACAGCTTATACCTGTGCTGGTCACTATGTTAAAACTTTTTATTGTTGTCCTGTTTGATCTAGTTTATGTGTCCAAAAGTTGGGGAACAAAGACAACAGCTTATACCTGTGCTGGTCACTATGTTAAAACTTTTGACTGTTGTCCTGTTTGATCTAGTTTATGTGTCCAAAAGTTGGGGAACAAAGACAACAGCTTATACCTGTGCTGGTCACTATGTTAAAACTTTTTATTGTTGTCCTGTTTGATCTAGTTTATGTGTCCAAAAGTTGGGGAACAAAGACAACAGCTTATACCTGTGCTGGTCACTATGTTAAAACTTTTTATTGTTGTCCTGTTTGATCTAGTTATGTGTCCAAAAGTTGGGGAACAAAGACAACAGCTTATACCTGTGCTGGTCACTATGTTAAAACTTTTTATTGTTGTCCTGTTTGATCTAGTTTATGTGTCCAAAAGTTGGGGATCAAAGACAACAGCTTATACCTGTGCTGGTCACTATGTTAAAACTTTTTATTGTTGTCCTGTTTGATCTAGTTTATGTGTCCAAAAGTTGGGGAACAAAGACAACAGCTTATACCTGTGCTGGTCACTATGTTGAAGCTCAGCCCTGATGAGAAGGCTAGGATAACAGCTGTAGCTCAAGGTTTGCTTACAAGTTTTTTGTGTGTTTAATCCTCACAAGATTTTTGACAATTTAAAAAAAAATTTAATCAAAATAAAATGTTTAATTTTTAAAAATTAATCTCTTTTTAAAAAAAGTTAAATTAAAAAAAAATTCTGTTCAAAGTTACTACTTTTATCAATTGTATGGCAATAAAGAAAAACATCTAGGCTTTTTGGTCTGTCACTATTTCTATTAGAGTCAGGACTAGAGTAAGTGGTACCAGTAAATAAATTTGCTATGGCGCACCCTGCTAGCTATCATAGAATTACCACTACTCAAGTTAATATTGCATACATTCTATAACAGCAAATTGGTAATCTCCATTTGAAATCTTTACACCAGGTGATGACAACACAGGCCAGCAAGCTTCACAAGGAGGCTGGGGCGCATATTTACACAGGTGGTCTAGTCTAACATAGGTCTGGACTAGCCTGACGGAAGTTTCTAATCATCATCCATTGTGTACAGCTAGGGTTTTCCAAGGGGACCAAGCAGCTGTTAAACTTCAGGGAATAGAAATATCTGTCTCCGATAGATGCACAGATATAAACTTCTGTGATTGGTAGATTTACAGAGGTTCTCAAAGTTTGAACCAGTTGTCATTGTTAAAAAATATTTTGATAATGTGGACTCAAGAGGTTCCAAACTTTAAAAATAATCTAGTTTGACAAGTTGTGAAACTTTATGTTGCCTTAAGTGGGATCTAGAGAAAGCTGCTTCTTGTTTTTATTTGACATTTTGTTCAGACTTTTGCCTGTATTGTTACTTTTTTATTGGGGCTTTTCACCAGATTTAGCAAATGTTTTTTTATGATGCTTCATTCCAATCAGTTATAATTATTTTCACTCTATTTGCATTAAAATCTAAGTGTAATTCATATTGAATACTGTTTTATCATGATGTATGGTGTAGTTTGATTCTTTAAAGATTTTTCTTATGCTGCCAGTATAAATTTGACATGTAAATAAGTGTTCTAATATTACTCAAATGTATGAGCTTCTGTCCTTTGGTGAGCAAGCGATTCCTGCTGAAGGACCCAACTTAGGGGACAACTGCCCAATAAAACACCAGTTGACTTTTTTGTTTTAAATTCTCATCTCAGCTGGTTTTTGTATATTGAATATATATTGCATCCTGGGTTAACTAAATTGATTCAGAATGGTGCTGTTTCCATAAATGTATATTTTAGGATAATCAAAGGTTAATAATATAAATGTGACAGATATAACTAGATTTTATAGTACAAGTTTTATAATAGTTTTTTTTTATAATTGATAAGTACAGATGTGACAAAAGGTTTTTGCCGTGAATGGATTTGTCAACATGACAATCTCACTTAAATTATTTATTCATGTCTTTCAATCTAGTTTCAGTGTTTTTTATGCTTAGCTTGCTCTCTATCCTTGGATGTGTGAAGACTACTATTAGTCATCTGTATCCTTGTATGTTGTAAAATAAGTTATCCACATCTTTGGATGTGTAAAAGTCTATTTAATTATGTTTAGATGCGTGAAGATTAGCCATCCTTTATCCTTATCTTTACTCATCTAATTAGCCATCTGAATCAGGTTAATATTTTGTGTGGGATTTTTGAAGTCTTGGTGCTGTATGTTATTTTTTTTTTTTTTACATTTTCCATTATTTAAAATGTTTTTCCCCTTTGAGGAAAATTGCAAATGTTCATATTGCGAGGCCCAAAACAACACCCCAATATTGGGTTAATATGTATAGTATGAAAAGGTAGTAATTGTTGAAAAATTCTTTTAGGTAAATATGCTGCTTTTTAAAAACATTTATACATGATTTTGTAAATTAATATTTTTTTAAATAAATGTAATGAGCTAAAATTGAAAGTTAACTTTTATTCAAACTGTAAATATGACCTGTTCGTTTGATGCAATTTTTGTTAATTTTGAGACAATTTTTTTCTAGATAATAAAATACATAATTAGATGAAGTTTCAAAGCCCTGGATCATGTTTTGTATGCTGTGATAATGCTTCATCATAAGTGGGTCCAAATATTTTTATAATAAAGGTTGAAAAACAAATCTTTTATGTAATGAGCATTTGTCATTTTTAACTTGAAGTCAAAGCAATTTATTGTGGAATTTTTACATGCAAAAAACAAAAACTGACATTATTTTATAAGTATTTATTCAGATTGCTATTTCATTTAGTTTCAGCACCAAAGTGGAAAACTTAATTGTACAACAGTGTTACTTTTAGTTAATTTCAAAATACCAAAGGTGTTTGAGTTAAATGAAACAGATGTCACAGTAAAAAAACAGAAGTTTTTATTTTTATGAAACAAAGTTATACTAAGACTGGCATTTTCTGACAATACTTTTCATCAGTTGGCTTTATTCATTACATATGTACATACAAGTAGAAAGACAATTTATATGTATAAAAAAATATTAAAATTTTAACCGGCACCAGGACGAGCTTTATCGAAATAATCTTTTGCCTCGTTGATTTTGGCTGCCAAGTAAGGTGAACCACCTGAAAAATATACCATCAAACAAGGGTAATTACAGGTAATGGAAGAAAGATATTTAGATTAGCAAGGATGTTAAAATCTATAGGTGTTTTCTGTTCCGGAAAACAAACCATCCCGACAATTGCAAAATTAGGATCAAACCTTAGAGATTAAAAACTATTTGTCAGTATTTTCTATTTTAGCAAAATTAACTAGCAACCCCATTGTGGTGCTAAAGATGAGAACCCATGAAGAACAAGGAACACAGTTTTATAATTTAGATTCACATATTTAAACACAAAGGTGGTACACTTTTATTCTGAAAATCTATATTTGCACCCCACCCATATAAATAATGAGTTACAGTGATTTCCTGGCTTGATGTTAAACAGGAGAGGCTAGGTAGCCAAAGTATATTTGCTGCTTTTAGCCTGTGACTAATGACTCATAGCTCACTACCTTCAAAACCAACTGATAAAAATTCTTATAAAACCATTATCAAATTAATTTGATTATTGATAGTTTTGAGATAATGAGGTAACAAGCACAACTGTATCTTTTTTTTATAGTTAAAATAAAAGAACAAGTGTGCAATAATAAACAATAGAAATATTTTATAATAGAAAAACTGTGCAGGCCATTCTTTACACAAAAATCAATTGATTAACAGAAGTACCATTAAGTTAATTAAAACAGATATTTTATAAATGCATGAAGGGCATGGAAGCAGACAAAGTGGCAGTAATGTTTATGTATGTGAGACATACAGGGTTATTTCTAAGCCTTTACAAGACAAAGGTATAGACAAATAGTTTCTGTAAAGACAAAACAGAGAGGATTTGAAGCTGTGAAGTTCACATATTTCCATTCTATTTACCAACAATACTCAGCCATCTAATATAAAGCGGGAGTGATCTCCCATTCACTTTCTCGAATATACATATAACACTACAGAAGATGGCAACTGGGGATATAGACATGATTTTTTATAAATTTTTAGTTACTAAAACTTTTAAAAATAGAACAGAATCTCGTAGAAAGAATTGCGCACTAAGTGAACAACCAACAACATGTGTTTGATAGTGCGGAATATATATGTACTTTATAAATTCATATGTGTATTTTGAGAAATCGGAAATAGCGTAAAGTACTACTTTTGGTAGATGGAAATTACTCAAAATTTGAAAGAAGGCAGAGAATTAGATCTTTCACTAATTTGTGAAATTTCAATTATCTATCTGAAACAGCACTCAAGGTATAAGCTTTTGAAAAACCAAAAGTAGCAGAAGTTCCACTTCTGGTTACAGGAAATCACTGAAAAGTTGATACAGAACTACAAATTTGATATATAACAGACACACATCCACACACACAGACATACGGCCAAAATTGCATAACTATGTTTTTCAGGCTAAGGAAGATGTAAAACGTCGAGATTTGTGAAAATCTCATTTCGAATTTTTTCACGATTACAATACTTTCTCTATACTTCGTATATGAGAAAGTAAAAAATCAAAATTAATAACCACACAGTCATAACTTACTTTGTTATGACACATTACAATAGAAACATGTAAGTAACTGTTCATAAAATTACACCTGTGCCTAGAGACATCAACTGTTATATTAAAAGACTGACCTCTGTCTGGGTGATTGAGTAGCATGATGCGCTTGTGAGCCTCCTTAATTTTCAATTTACTTGCTGAAGGACTGTCAGGACACAAAGAAAATCAAAATGAAATCTCAGCAATTTATTAAAATAAAAAGTTACACCTTAATTTTCAATTTACTTGCTGAAGGACTGTCAGGACACAAGAAAATCAATATGAAATCTCAGCAATTTATCAAAATAAAAAGTTACACCTTAATTTTCAATTTACTTGCCGAAGGACTGTCAGGACACAAGAAAACCAATATGAAATCTCAGCAATTTATTAAAATAAAAAGTTACACCTTAATTTTCAATTTACTTGCTGAAGGACTGTCAGGACACAAGAAAATCAATATGAAATCTCAGCAATTTATCAAAATAAAAAGTTACACCTTAATTTTCAATTTACTTGCCGAAGGACTGTCAGGACACAAGAAAACCAATATGAAATCTCAGCAATTTATTAAAATAAAAAGTTACGATCAGATTTCACCACAGGTAAAATGATTGGGTCATTGCAAAACAAAATGGGTCAAGGTTGCAAAAAAGAGGGTTCAAAGTTGAGATCTTATAATAAAATATATATTTTCTCTTCAATTTCTTTTGTTCTTTATTCTAAAATAATTAAATTAAATATTAAATAGGCCAAGAAAAAAACATAGCTAAATTATTAATTACATTTTCTACTTTTCCCCTATTGTTTCATGCTATTTTTTTATAATCTTAGAGAATAGAGCAATGAATACAGATATAAAATGGAATCTTTGGCAAAGCAAAACCTGTCCAAGATCATGATGGTAAATGATTAAAAAAGCTGCTCTTATTACAAGAACACCTACCTGACACCTAGTGTGACCTACTTAGGTCTGGTAATGTTTATTTTTACATTTGTTATAATACCATATATAGTCTGTGGTGTGGCACAGTGGTTAGAATCTCGGTGCGCCACGGCAGCGGCCGAGGTTCGATTCCTCGGTTCAGAGCCGAGTAGGGTGGCCCTGTTACGCAGTGGCCTGGATCACGCTCGCTCACGGCGGCGTTAGATCCCATGACCCTCAGGGTGGCCCTTGTGGCCTGGATCGCATTTCGATCCCATGACCCTCGACCTGTGTGGTCGTATGACTTATGTGACACACAATAGGCAGTTCATTGATCAGACGTCGTTGAGAGACATAAGCCCTGTGTGTTGCCGTTTAGTAATAAGTTGTTTAAGTAGCATATTCATATATTACTTGTGGTTAAGTAATTCTTTATGCTTATAGCAGTGATGTGTATACTGTGGTGATTTTTCTGAAGTGTTAAAAGCTGTGATAGTGTATCATATTATTTTTTCCCACGAATTGTAAGTTGGGTTTTGTTCATTCTGTAAATCTATTTTATTCCTGTATAAATCTAGTGTTCTGCCACAACTTTGTACACTCATTACAAGTTATATGCAGATTAAAGGTATTGTTGGCATCAGTAGTTTCTCTAGTGTTTCCCCTAGACATCCATTACGAGTCCTAGCGAACTAGTGTTAACTTTCTTTTATTTAGGCTTGTCGCCATCTGTGTATAATCAGTTAAACGAATCCGGGAGCGTTCGCCATCTATCTGGCTGATAGATTGGTGTCCGTTACACTAGGATAAGACTTGGTAAATGATTAAAAAAGCTGCTCTTATTACAAGAACACCTACCTGACACCTAGGATAAGACTTGCTTCCCTTCGACTCATTTGTGGGTCAAAACCCCCTCTGTAGTATTTACTGAATGACTAGAGGAAAAAAGCATGACAATTTTGTATTAGCAATTTTGATCACTGGTTAGTGCAAGCAACATTTCTCAACATTAAAAAAAAATCTACATTAATTGAAACTCAAACTTACACCTTGGGGAAGTTCTCCTAGTGTTTGATTGAGTGTCTGTTGAGCCAAGCGACCTGCACGCAAAGCATATCGGCCTGCAAACAGTTGAAATACTTTTTAAAACTTGTATATTTTTAAAAATAAAGAAAACTACTGACAAAATTTCCCTTAGGGGCCTTCCAAAACGTTTTTACTACTTCCCTCCCCCCAATAGCTACAAAAGTTTAGAGACACACCCCTAAAATAATGTACAACCTCAATTTCCCCCCCCCCCCCCAAATGTTTTTAAAAAACCCAGCTATTTATTGGTTAACATTGAATGTGCGGATAAATTTTGAATACAAATTGCACATAAATATCTTTTTAAAATGCAAAAGTGTGTTCCCCCCCCCCCTTAACCTCATTACTAAATTAACCCTCGAACCCCCATCCACCACAACAAGTGGGACATCATTTAAATAAGACCCCTAATGTGTTTTATAGTTTGAAGATAAAAATATATTATTCCAACAACTTATCAACAAGTCCAACTGTTTATTGAATGCTAGTAGCTCAAACACTGGATATTTTAGGCCTTCTTTAAAGAATTAAAGCTAAATGCAATCCTTTAATATTCCACTCATTTTTTGTACACTGCATACATTCTTGTTACATTCCCAAAGCAACCTTCTTAAAGCTAATCAGATCACAGGGACATAATTAAGTAATTGCAATTGCAAGAAACACCATCATTGATTTTGTATAAAGCTAATTTTTGAGTAAACATGCTTAAGCTCTTTAACAAGGTACATCCTTATTGATTTTGCTAGAACATTCTGTTTAAAAGTGTTCTATTCAAAATTGTTACTGCAAGTTTAAGTGCATTTATTCCACGGGGACATTCAATGATTGATTTAATAGAGAGAATAATTTCACAATAAAACAAATGTTATGGCCAGTAGTTTCCTGATGCTGCGGCTAAACATGTAAGCTCAAAATCAATAATGAGGATCTACAAATGTTTGGTTCTAAAATTTTATATAGACACAAAACTAAAGTTCTTTTTGTTCACTCTGTTTCCACGTTTTAAACAATTAAACATATGAGTAAAGCAAACAACTAATGTTTGAATTTTTATTATAATTATAAAGTATTTTCATACTCGTTTTGTTTTTCCTAAAAGTAAAATGTACCTGCAAATCCTATAGCAGCTATACCCAGACCTGCTAAAATAAGACCAGTAGCCTGCAGAAATAAAAGAATTTTATACTGTTCTGCTTAGGTTTAAGAGAAATCATAGGTTTATATAAAGGTTATTATTGTTAGTGTCGAAGGAGACAGAATAAAATTGATAAGTATTTGGGAAGAAATTAGCTGAGTAAAATATAGAAATATTTTGATGTAATCAGTGGCGTAATAGATCGGCTGGGGGCTCATGCTCTTGAACAATAAAAACTTTGGGGCCCTTACCCCAGGGGGTGTATGCTGGATTTTTTTAGGTAGGGAGGAGTGTTTAGCCAAGATAAAGCACATTATATATTTCGCTGGGATGTTAAAAAAATTTTAAGTTCACTTTGAAATAGAAAAGAGAACTGAAACATAACACAACACAACAAATAACACATCATACACAACAAATAGCCTACAAAGCATAAAACACAATAACACTAATCCTTATAAAATACATTTTTATTTAACTTATGAAATTTTTTAAATATTAAAGGTAGAGGTAATTATTACACTCTTTAATACAGCTCCGTACAAATGTTTGAATTATTGTTTTGAATTTATATTTAAATATTTAACTCAATGCAACAAGCCCGACGGTTGACTTGAATTATCTTTCTATTTTAAATTAGGCCGATGCTAGCCGGAATAAGATACACATGCGCAATGGAGAGAAACTACGACTTGACATCGCGGCGATGTGTTCGATGGTACTGCGTGTGTTTACAACTGCAGAACCCTAACACCAACCCTAATCCTATCCCTAACCCTATCCCTAATCCTATCCCTAATATAGCCCTAACCCTAGCCATAGGTCACTGTGCATGCTCAGAGCTATCTTTTGCCAACTAAGTGGAGACGGGGAGAAAAATCTTCTCCCGAGTAGTCACTTCGTTTAAATTATTAGACTTAGAACTTAGGCCTAACTAAAAAAAACTAAACAAAACATGTAAAATCTTTCCATATTCTATTGATTGAATCTAGATCTAGCTAGAATCTAAATCTACTCAGTGATCTACAATCTACTGTACATAAGTACATAGATCTAGATCTAGATCTACTATTCAAGCTAGCCTATCAAAATTAAAATATCAAGAAATATGAAGCAGACTCAACTCATGAGACTGTGTCAGTGTGTTACACTGTTACTGTTTAGAGTTTAGATTAATTAGACTGTTAGGCAGTGTTGAATGTTAGCCTAACAAATAACATTTAGGCGTTAGCCGTTATGTATTATTTTTTAATTATGTAAGGCCTATTCTATTTCTCTATTACTAAAATTTTTATTATCACTGTGACTGAGATAGGCTACAGTCTACCTACACAGTACAGTTGAGTACAGTACAGTGTACAGTGTACTCAAGTGTACTGAGTGTAGTAGAACCAGTCACAATCAGTCACACAGTGACAGTCACTGTGAGTCAGTGGCCGCGGACGGGATTTCATCGTTTAAAAAAAAATTAAACCATTATTTAAATCAGATGACAGATCTGTTTCAATTTTGGGTTTTGTTATAATGAATAACTTACCATTTGTGGTTTAACTTCCCGAACTTGTGGTTCGTCCAATTCATTTAATCCGTAACTTGGCATTGAAGAGGCATAAACTTAATTTAAGAACGCAGAAACAGAAACCAAAAAAATGCTGAAGGTTAGCGACGAAAAGCTCATGCGTGTAGTTGATGTTTTTATGCAACCGATGTTTACACACCTAACCGAAGTTTTCCGAAGCAACCAAGTCAATGCTGAGGCGAATTATTAAAAATAAAAAGCGTTTTAATAACAATCTTATAATATATAGATCAATATATATATATATATATATATATATATATATATATATATATATATATATATATATATATATACATACATATATCTAGCTATCCGGTACAAAGGTTAAGAAAAATGGTTTTCTTTAAATATATAATAATGCACTACTATAAAATAAATAAAAATAAAAAGGTTGAGAAATTATATATTTTTTCTTTTTCTTTCACCTTGCAATGAAACGGAGGGGGGGGGGCTCATAAAATGACGTCACACTCCTAGAAGGAAGGTGTGGGTTCAGCCTTTTGTGATGACGTGTGACAACGGGGAAAGGGGGTAAGAAAATGTGACCAGAGTTTCTTTCGCTCCACAACCCGAAGCAAATCCATCGCATTCCCTACCTAACTGAAATAGAGATCTAGCACTCAAGCTTTTGAGAAATCGAAAGAATAGCGAGTGACACTTCCGGTTACCGGAAATCGCTGAAAAGTTGATAGAAACTACACATTTGATATAATAATTGTATATTAAATTTCTTCAACATAGCTGAAACAGTACTCAAGTTATCGTGTTTACTCACTTATATAGACCTACCCCCCCCCCCTCCCCCACAAACACAATTCCCACGCTCACCCACAGTTTCAAGTGACCCCCCTCCCGGGAGAAAACTCTGAAGAAAACACTATAACACTGTAAAAAGTAAGTATTTATAATATTGTTGGCGCAATATGTTGTAAAACAGTAGAAGAAGATAATTATATTTTGAGTTAAAGTATGTGACTGTGAGATGTCCCATATAAATCGAGAAGACTTTTTTTTTAAAAACCATCTAGTCACATTATTTTTTAACACCGATTGTCGGTTGAAAAAGGTTTTATTATATAACGCATGCTATATTTTTACAAACTATTTTGTACACATTATTTTTAACGAATTATTTCTTTTTCATGATTTAATAAATCTTACAACACACCGACAATTTATAAGCCCTTCCGATTCTGAAGTGCTACGTACGCAGTGGTCGATTGTCACCCGGTGCGGCACTTCGCGGTGTCACCCCCCCCCCCCCCCAAGTCACAAAGTATATATATATATATATATATATATATATATATATATATATATATATATATATATATATATATATATATATATATATATATATATATTGTGACCTTCTTAGGTCTAGTAATGTTTTATTTTTAGTTTGACATTTCTTATAATACCATATATGGTCTGTGGTGCAATGATCGGTTTTTTTCCGCTGTCTTACTAAGAGAGTCTTAGACTCAGAAATTTTCCATCGAGAGATGATTGATTGTTTCAGACCAGATGACCACCCCAACCAATGGTCTTATGATTTGAAGGTGACCTTCCATGTTACCTAAGTCTATAAATAGATCGCCCACAGGTATCTCGAGGCAGTCTATGGTCAGACGTCGTCGAGAGTTGATAAGCCCTGTGTGTTGCCGTGCAGTATTAAGTTGTTATATTACTTGTGATTAAGTAATTCTTTATGCTTATACCAGTGTTATGTATACAGTGGTGATTTTTCTGAAGTGTTAAAAGCTGTGATATTGTATCATACTATTTATTCCCACGAATTGTAAGTTGGGTTTTGATCATTCTGTATATCCATTTTATTCTTGTATAAATCTAGTGTTCTGCCACGACTTTGTACACTCATTACAAGTTATATGCAGATTAAATGTTTTGTTGGCATCATTAGTTTCTCTAGTGTTTCCCCTAGACATCCATATCGAGTCCTAGCGAGCTAGTGTGTCAAATTTCTTTTATTTAGGCTTGTCGCCATCTGTGTGTAATCAGTTTAACGAATCCGGGAGCGTTCGTCATCTATCTGGCTGATAGATTGGTGTCCGTTACAATATATATATATATATATATATATATGGTGTGTGTCTGTGTGTGTGTCTATAATTTAAATTTATGCCATATACGCGTACATGTATGTGTATAAGCTTTAATCACTGCAGACTTAATATTAACGATGTTTATCTTTAGTCTGTTAATAATACAGTTGGATGTAGCAATGTTTTCTCTATAGTTAGCACGTTTACGTCATGGTGTCACCCTCAACCACTTGTAATAATAGTCGATTCGTACTTAAAAGACTATTTAACTTTAATTATTCATTAATGGAACTGGCAAAAAAAAGCATTTTTCTTCTGTACATTTTGCCTTTTTTTTTGCCTTGGTGTCAACCCCCCCCCCCCCCACCCCTAAATGGTGTCACACGGTGCGTTCCGTACCCCCCGCCGCGCCCTCGCGACGCCTCTGGTGCTATAATACGCATCTACCTGGTCTATCTTTCATCTAAACCTCGAGTACGTATAGGCTACTCAAATTCAGTAGGGTAGTTCAAACTTAGATGCCTGTAATGTACATCTAAAAAATATTTTAGAATCAATAAATAATCTACATTTAACGAGCTTTTGACACGGTATGATTACACTTACAGGGATCATTGGTTGAGCAGAAAGCAATTATACACTTACGATATAACAAGTATGCCAGAGCCTTAACCTTCTCTAAACGTACTTTTCCATTGAAATATCAACAATGCAACAATTAAAGAAGCACATGATAAAATTACAATTTTAAAAATGTAATTGTAAATGATTAACCTTTGTAGGTTTACTGTAGCCTATATTTTAAATTTGTAAATAAGTTTGACCCAACCAACAAGTCAATCAACAAGTCAATCAACAATTCATCCAACCAACAAGCCAATCAACAAGTCATCCAACCATCAAGTCATCCAACAAGTCATACAACAAGTCATCCATCCAACAAGTCATCCAACAACAAGTCATCCAACCATCAAGTCATCAAACCAATAAATCAACCAAAAAAGGCACCACATCCAACCACACTATCCCCCACCATATCACTCACGCAAACTCTACCCTCTCTCTGCCCAATGTGTCTTGGTCATGATTGGAAAGAGATGATGAGGCTTACTTTGAGGAATCAACCACCAACTTTAATCACTGTAACTCTACCGGTAATAATTTGAAGCACGGTGTAAATAAACACGGACCTCATTAATTAACGACTACCACAATACGATCAATGACGTAACTCGTCTGATCTCTCGCTCCCCAGCAGACGTGTGGGCCGCTGATCTCTGCAGACGATACAATGCCAGCACGTGCGGTATTTATGGTCACGTGATACAACTTTAAATCGCAGTTGTGGGGAAAAAAATTCTCTCTCTAGTACAGAAACTACAGACATTTTTGTTTGTTGGATAAACAATTCTTCCAGTATCTTCACTTAAATTTTTCCTAATGTTATTCAAATTTGGACTAACTTCGAGATTTTTTGCAGGAATAAGGCACCCGCTTTAACCTTATGAGTTAACTAGACATGCCAGTAAAGCTAAGACAATATCTGAAAGTTTACTTTTGGCACATAGAATCTATCATAGAGGAGTTATCGAACGTGGTTTGTTCAAACCTGCTTACTAGTGTAATTTAGAACTACGCCTGCCATTAAAATAGCAACGAACGATTATAAAATTCATTAGCTTGGATAAAGAATCCCAAGTACCACTTCGTAGCTATGCATTCTGGCTCGATGACGTCATCATCTAGGCTATCCTTACTTGGTCAACTTGGACTGGATATTTTCAACACAAAGTGCAACTTTGGCACCAGGTAACTACATCTAGTCGCCAATCACAATGTTGTACTTTAAAATAATTTTAATTTTTTCAAAATTATTGTTGGAACATTAAGTGTACTTTGGCACGAGGTAAGGGGGTCGTCCATAAATTACGTCACACTCGTAGGGGGAGGGGGGTCCGTAATTTTGTGACGGTGTGTGACGAGGGGAGGGGAGGGGTTTAGATGGTGTGACGTCACACTTTTGCATTATAAAAAAGAAATGTTAGAACGAATTTTAGACGTTATAGATTAGAAAACTGTTTTAATAAATTGTTATAGGAATTGATTAAAATACTCTATTTTGATTGAGTTCAGACAAGACTTTAGAAAAATATCGATGTTTTAAGAAAAAATCCTGCATTTTTGAGGGGGGTTGTAGGCTGAGGTGTGACGTCATTTTAGGGGGGGGGGGGGGGGTCTGGCTTTTTGTGATGATGTGTGACGGAGGGGAGGGGGAGGTAAAAAATCGTCAAAAAATGCGTGACGTCATTTATGGAAGACCCCTATCTATATTTAGTAGCCTATCACAATGTTGTACTTTAAAATAACTTTATTTTTTTTCATAATTATTATTTGAACACTAAGTGTATTTGGGCACAAGGTAACTATATTTAGTAGCCTATCACAATGTTGTTCTTTAAAAAAAAAAGATTATTTGAACATGTATACAATTTTTTGTAAAAACAAGTTTTTAAATGTATTGTACAAAAGAAAACTATTTCTTTTTCTTTAGATCTAAGAGTAAAAGCGCTACTCGTTAAAATGGAATATAGAAATGTCCTTAGCCCCCACTGTTGGTGGTATTCTCGGCTCTATGACGTGTAAATAACATTTTATGTGAACACTAGTTTACCAGACCGATCAAATGTTATCTTGTAAACATTCTATTACTTTTTAATGACTAATTAAATGTTTAATAAGATTGCAAATATATAGTATTGCGTTGTCATCGGATATACACATTAGAGTAAAGCTTAAAAAGAAATCGCTCTATTAGAAATACATCCAAATTCGACCACAAACCCCCATTCATAAATGATCTCTCACATTTTTGGCGATTTTTACCTCCCCCTCCCCACCGTCACACATTGTCACAAAGAGCCACCCCCTCCCCATAAGATGACGTCACACATCAACCTACCCCCCCCCCCCCCCCTCAAACTTGCATTTTCTTTCGATAATATTGACTGAGATCGGTCAATATAGAGTGTTTAAACCAATTTGTATCATTTTTTTTAAA